GATGACAAATAATTGTGCTGAGAAAGACCCTAGAGGATAGGAAATTTGCTTAGGAGCTGAGCCAAACAAATCAAAACGTAATGCTTTCAGACCTCAAAACCTACCCCATTGTTTAGCCATACCATTTTACTCCTATTATGGTATCATGCTATTGACACATGCTTTGTTTTTTAGACACTGTTAGGCTGATTTGGTGCCCGACTTGTACTGTGACGCGGTTCTTGTTTTAGCTTTCATCGAGTGAGCCTACATGTCGCCATATATCCTCAAACTATCCGCATCCCCTCCATTACCAGCTCCCGAGTGATAGATTGTCCTCGCTCCCTCTCCACCTTCCTCTGTGTCTAGAATCGCAGATGGGGGCGTGTACTTGAGAGAGCTGCATGCGTAACTGCCCATCAGACCCTCTTCACTTGCCAAATGGCTAATATTTGCGGCCAGCACCTATCAAACCGATAGGCTACGAATGGAAAGTGTATGCGATGTGAGAACAATGTATTTTCCTCCAGTACCACTTGGGATGCATGAGCTAGTGGAGAGAATGAGCCATTCCCACAGGCCATAACATCAAATCGCATCATATCATACCATTAAAAAACTTATCCCAGAAAAGACCCTACACCATGAAATAAGACGCAAAGGCCAAACCGCTTCTCGCCACCCTCTGAGTGGGATTTGACAGTCACATGACCACACGCTAGATGGATTAGGCAACTGGCGGTTTGGATGATTACCTCTAGGTACAGAACACGCAACCTCCTTCTGTCTTCCTTAAGAAAGACGGTGAAGCGTATATTCCAAGGCATCACATTTATCCCCAAAGATGAACACCCGTTCGCCCATCCATATATTGTGTTATAAATGTGAGAAAAATAATACCTCTTCTTCATTTTTGTCTCCGCTTTCCCCATCTTCTTTTTCTGTGGACGGTAAGTGGAAGACGAGAGAACAAATTAAGAGGGCGCAAGTGCTAATCTACCTCTAATCCCTTCTAGATTAGCTTCAGTCCCATTCTCGAGTAGAGTGGAGTACTGCGCAGCTGAGGGGATATCTTATGCTAATTTGTGGGGGAGGTGAGAAGTAACGAAGGGGAAAGGCACTGCAAAACATTTTGCCCTGTTTCTACTCAAATGAGCACTTAACAATAAAAGAGAACTGGCTTAAAATTTCTTCATAGCCAGATTTAAATATACAACATTTATTGAACTACATGAAAGCGGCTGATTCAGTATCATATTTTTGAGGTAATTTAGAAAATGAAAAGTTTCATAATAGATAAGTGCGCGTGGGAATTCCTTCTCTTGTGAGTACGTTTTTTTTGTCCGGAGGATAAGTAAAAATACCTAGCCCTAACCACCTCCTTATCAGCCTTATTTTTAAACGACTAGTTGTCTAGTCCACCTGGCTCATGGTCATGTGGTTGTCAAATGCCATTAAGATGCGTTACTCACTTATAAGGTTACAAGATGCGACTTTAGACGTAGTGTAGTATCAGCATTCTAAATTGTAATGAGATTTACCTCGGGCAAATTTTATCACGGTATGAGGTAATGTGATAATGTGGTTCTGGAGAGGAACACACTTTGCTCTTGTTGTGAGCACTTTCTGGTCGTATCCAATCGAGCAAATAGACTTCAGCTACAAATATTTATCACTGGTAGGTGAATATGACCCGATGGGCAATCACACAGGCAGCTCACACATGCACACACACACACACACAGGGACAGAGAGTGGAAAAGTGGGAGAAAGGGAGCTAGGATATTCTTTTCAGGATGAAGTATTATGTGTCTTAGAGGTTGCCAGTGGAGGAAAGATAGATGGATTGAGGATGGATTGTGATATATGGGGCCCTTGGACGAAATCTGGAATAGAAAAAAACATTCCTTACCACCAGCCAGTCAGTCAGACAGCCGATTATTCGACCAAACTACAACTGTTTCAACTAATCAAATCGTGTGTCAATAGCGGGAATTGAGAATAGGGATGAAAAAATGGGAATGAAGAACTCGGTAGGTGTTGACGTCTTCCTGACGTCAAGACTAATGTAAATGAATTTGCTTGGCTTAGCCAAGAGTTTATTCACCCAACTTTTAAGGGCTCTTCTCAGCACCACGCTCCCATCAGCTCCGCTTGACCTACTTCTGATGATCCGTCATCC